CGCTGAAAGGCCAGCTTCCAGCCGAAGCGGCTTGCCTACCTGTTGGCTTGGTTTCCGCTCTTGCTGGCCTTACAGTTGCCGATGCCCAGCTTTTTGGGGGCTATCAAGAGTCCCTGCCACAACATTGTAGGCTACTCCTGCCGTTTGCTGCTGATGGCCACTGGGCCTGTGTTTGCGCTCAAGTCCAGCAGGACTGCCTTTCCATCCTGTATCTCGACGGGATTCCAGACAGGCTTGTTGGCCAGGCCCGCCATTTAGGAGAAATTCTTGCTGTGCTCTTGGGCTGCAGTGATCATCAATTTCAGAGCCTGTCTTGGTTTGTTCAGGGTGCGGAAGATTCTTGTGGGGTTGTGACGCTTCGCCACTTATGCGCTTGCGTTGCAGGGCTTGGGCCTCAGGTCGACTCCATAGTGCAGCAGCTGCTGCAAGCTGGCCCTATCCAGGGCCGCAGCACAGACACAGCAGCTCCGTGAACTTTTGCAGACCAAAGGGGTCATGCAGTCATGCCTTGAGGAGCGCATCCAGGCAGCCATTCGCAAGCTCGGTCCCGGCCCTATCGCACAGGCCCTGGCTCACAAGCATCCGTGGGCGCAGCTAAAGGCAGTTGCTGGGCGTCCAGGCAACAACTTTCGTTGGGTCACGGCCGATGAGCTTTCACAGCACATCGAGGCTAAGGCCTCCCCTCAGTTTGGAACATCAGTTCCCAAAGGCAAGGACAAGAAAAAACCGCAAAAGGCACCCCGTGCCCCTGCTGTGCTCCAAGTCGACCCTGCCAAGCTCTTGTTGTCTCCTGGGTCCTTTGTCAATACGGATGGCACCCCTTTGCCACAGATTTCGTTTGAAGAGGTTGGAGCACTTGCCGCCGGAGTTGCCTTCTGTAGTAGTGGTCAGGCTACGCCGTTCCTTGAGTCTGGCAAATCTTTGAGCGTAGACTCCTTAGGCCTTGTCTGCGTCAGCTCCCTTTCACCGGAGCAATGTGGGGCTGCTCGGGTCAGCGCAGTCCATTTTCCTGCCATTTACGGGCCCACGGGAGAAGCTGTTCTCCTACGAGGGTCCCTCATTCAGTTAGGGGACGAGTCCGTCCAGCTGCAGCAGGGCCAGATCGCTGACACAGACCAGCTTGACACTGCAACGTGCAGATTTACAGTGTTCAGGGATGAGGCTGTGCTTGATTGGGCAGCTTTCGCACAGTCCCCCATCCGCACTTTGGTTGTTGGGAACCCAGGCCTCTCTCTTTGCAAAGACGCGTCTTGCAGTCAGTCTTGCGGCAAGTTCCACCCCTCCGTGGAGGAGGCTGATTGCGCCTAATTTTGGACTTATGGGGCCGACAGTGGCTCAAACTTGAGGGTGGCAGGGCTTCCCCCGAGGATGCGCATGTGTTTGCTTGCCTGGTACGAGTGCCTGCTTCGGCCCTGCGTCACTTGCGCCAGTTGCTTATTCGAGGCTTCTACGCCGAGCCTAGAGCGCCTGGGGGCTCTGCCCCGCATGCTGGATTCGCAGTGGTATGGCTTCCTGAGGCGGATTATCCCAAGGCTCTTCACGTGTTGCGTACCTGCCCCCAAGCAGTCGCTCTCACACGCCTTGGCAAGCGATACGGCGTCAGATGCCGTGAGGCAGATGAGCAATTGGTACATCAGACATTGCGGCCTGGCAGTGATTTCCAGAAGATCAAGATCACTGCTCACTGGCACCTCCACCCTCTACCGTTCGGCTGCCAACGCAAGCACTTGCAGGGCCTCCTTAAATCCTGGGCGTGGAGCGCCCGTCCATTGCAGCCAGCTCGAGGCAATGGAGAAGGGGCCGCCTGGATTGTCGGCGCCGCCGAGGACCCGCCTGCCTGGTCCAGCCATTGCATGTGGGGGTACCTTTGTGCTGGTACGCAAAGTTCGAGACACTGTTGCTCCCGCGCCCCAGACAGGCATTACTGCTTCAGGCCGTACAGCCTCATCTTGTACGACGATGGTGAGGAAGGGCCCAGCGCGTGTCTGGCTCGGCCGCCTCCCGGTCTTCCTCCGCCTGCCGCTCCTGCCAGTTCTGGCACGCAAACCAAGATCACACAGCTCAGGGAGGAGCTTTCCCAGGGAATGAAAGACCTCGTGCAGCAGCACCTCACTGCATCCAACCAGGCTGACACCCAAAAATCTGAAGCCCTGGTCTCCAGGAACTCCAGGCGCAGAACACCAAGTTCGAGGGTTGGTTCCAGACCTTTGGTCAGAAGGTCACCGAATCGCACAACACCGAATCGCACAACAAGGTTGAGACTCTCCAGCAGTCTTTTCAGGCACAGGCGAACGACGTTGCCCAGCTTCGTGTTGAGGTGAGCAGGCAGGCCGAACAGTTGCCTGCTACTGTTCAGTCTGCAGTCAGCTCACTGTCTGCTGAACTTGGTGCTCAGATGCAACAACAGTTTCAGCAACAGCATAGCCAGCTCGAAGCGCTGCTCTCCAAGAAGCAGCGATCAGAGTGACTAGGGCAAGCCAGCTGTGCCACTGGGGCAGGGCACAGGCTGTGCTTCTTCATCACAGCCCTACAGATCTGTCTTCTTTTGTTGGTGTGGCTGCGAGCCTGCCAATGCTTCATTGCCCGTGTTCGACTGGGGATTAGTCGAGATAGCAAAGACACAGCCTCCACTGCCTCTTTGCAGCTTTCAGGTTCACGCACTCGAGGCCACCGCGCCTCTTTCAAAGTTCCTACATGCCTTTGGATTTTGTTGTTTGGCCTCCTTCAGCCTGCATCGGCCTTTGTGGGTTCCGCTGGGGCCGACCGCTTTGGCGAAGCTCGCCACCCCGGCCCTCACTCTGAAATTTGGATTTCCACGAGCAACCCCTCTGGACTTCGGGGCAAAGTTCCGTTGGCAGTTGAGCAACAATGCGGGGTGCATTGTTTCAGCGAAACACAACTTTCTGCCGTCACGCTGCCTCAGGTTGCAAGTCAGTTTCGTCATTTTGGGCGGCAGCAGAGCCGCAACATTCGTACACAGGCGGGCGCAGCCGCTCCTCTCCGAGCCCACAGTGACTGGGCCGGCTCATGGACAGGCGTTTTGGTATCCTCTGACTGGCCGATGCACCCCGTCCGCGTCCCTTGGCCTGCAGGGATCTATGAGACAGCTCGGGTCCAAATAGTTCAGGTTCTAATCGAGGGCTTCCCCCTCCTCTTTGCCAACGCTTATGGATATAGCCGTGGTCATCCACAAGCTACTGCTGCCACTGAGGCTCTCCTGAAGCCGATCACCAAAGAGCTTGTATTTGGCCGCGTTGGCCCCAGGGTCATCTGCGGAGACCTGAATGCAGATGAGGATGCATTGCTGCAAACCCAGATCTGGCGCCAGCAAGGCTGGATCGAGATTCAAGATCTCGCCTGGCAGCGCTGGGGACACATTCCGGCACCCACCTGTAAGGCCGCAACCAGACGGGACTTTTTGTACCTGTTTTGTGAGGTCGCGGCCCTTTGCTCAGACAGCGCGGTTCTGGAGATTTATCAGGAACACTCTACGGTTGCCGCAAAGGTAGTAATTGCTTCCAACGCTGGTGCTGTCCGCTGCTGGCCTCGTCCGGCCGAAATCCCCTGGAACAGCATTGCATTGGATGGCCTCAATGTGTCATCTCATGTCCCTCTTCCTCCTTACCCTGACTCCAGTCGCCGCTTTCAGCAACACGCACAGCTGTTTGAGCAGAGCTTGAATGGGCATGTAGCTTCCCCTGGAGGCCAACTCCCCGCCTGTTGTTTTGGACGGGCAAAGTTCACTAGCCCCGTGGTCAAAGATCTGCAAGTGCAGGCATCCCGAGCCAGCCGGGCAGGTGATGAGGTCCTCCAGAGTGATCTCCTCTCCCTTGAAGTTCGCCGTTGGTTCAAGCAACTTCGTAGAATACAAAGCCTTCGACAGGCGCTCCAACGCCCCAGCTACACTCTTTCTGCTCTGGAATATCGGGGCAACCTGTGGGCGTGCATCAAGAATTCCACCGTGGCTTTGTCTCCTGGTGGCTGCACAGGCCGGTGCAGCAGGTTGGCTGCCCTCAGGTTCTGCCACTATCTGTTCCTACACCTGTTGCTGCGGAGGCCATCTTTTTGGACTTCAGGGAAAACTTCCGCCGACTTGAGAAGTGGCACCTTGCGCAACGCGGCAAAGTGCTGACCGCTCGACACACTGCCTCTAAGGACCGTCTCTTTCAGGAGCTCCGCGAAGAAGCTTCCAGGCCTGTTGATTCACTTGTCAATACGCAGGCATATGAAATCCTCGGGGTGGATCAGGCCGAGCATCTGCTGCACGTAGATCGCCCTCTTGACACTGCAGGCCACTCTGAGTGGAAGCTGGATGGCCAGACTGTCCGGATTGCACACCTGTCCCCTGGTGTGTCGTGCGGAAGGCCTCCCAAGCCTCCCCACTGATGGGGAACTCGAGCAGCTGCAGTACGTTTCCTCTGCGCCAGAGATCCATAATGAATTCGTTAAGTTTTGGTCTCAACGATGGAACAAGCCCAGCTCTGATGAGCAGTGGACTAGAATCCTTGCTTTCACTCAAGCCTACATGCCTCAAAGGCCCTTGTCCTGCCAGCCATTACACCGGCTCAGTGGCTCTCAGCCCTTCGCAAGTTCAAGCCCAGGGCCGCCCGGGGTCCGGATAGCTATGCACGGGATGACCTTCTTGCAATGCCACTGCCCCATGTCCAGGAACTTCTGCTGCTTCTCTCAGACATTGAGGCAGGGGCTGCATGGCCTAACCAACTCCTGATTGGTCTGGTCACCGCACTGCACAAACGCAACGGACACGACTCTGTCCATGGGTACGAGCCCTCGCAAACCTGTCATGCTGGCCCTGTGAGCCTGCATGTTTGCCACGCTGTGCAACCAAGCGCGCTCTGCCAGCGCCCGAAGAGCAGGGAGTGGAAGGTGAAGAAGGTTGTGTGAAAGTCCCTCTTCGTCTACGAAAATGGGCGGAGTGCAAATTCGCCAGCCTATGCTGCCCAAAACAATGAGGAGCTTCGAGAAGGGGCCGTGGAAAAGGTGCCCATCAAAGCGGAGCATGAAGTCAGCCCAGAGATGAACCAAGC